AAAAAAAAAAAAAAAAAAAAAAAAATCAGGACTCACTTATCAGTGGTCACTTACTAATAGGTGGTTTAAAATCTGCCCTTTCAAGCAATGTCTGTATGCTAAGAGCTCCCGGGCCTCTAAAGAAGGCACTTCATTGCGTATTTCATGCACACCTTCATGTGTACTCTAGTCTACCCTCCCACGACTGGGCTCTGGCTGTGTTTGCCGCCAAGAACACTCGATGGATACCGGGGCCTGGCTGGAGCGTACTTGTCACGGGCCGGCAAAAGGCCTACGTGTATCATTACCAGGGTGAGGCCCAGAGGTCAGACACCGGAGCCAGCGTTCAGCAAAAGACCCCCTGTGGCCCCTAACAGCAACTTCTGCCCGTGGTTTCCCAACGCTCCCCCGTCTTGGGTGGGAAAACTGCCCTTTAGGACCCGAAGAGGGTCCGGGAGAGACAGGCCTCAGACAAATGCTGTCCTATCCGAGTGATCCCACACCGCACTTCCTAGGATTCATGACCTGGTCTCTGCCCGATGGGCCTGAGAGAAATTGCTTAGGCTCCGCCGACCCTCCGCCCTGGCGAGTGCTTCTTTCAGCACCGCAGCGCGGACAGCTCCCGGGAAGGCGAGGAGGGGAGGGGAGGGGAGGAGGCGCGGCGAGCGGCCTGGGGTTGGGGGGGGGAGCGGAGGGGAGGAGAGGGCCAGCGAGGGCGGGGAGGTCTGGGGAGGCGACGCGGCGGGCAGGCGGGGCCCGGAGCCCGGCGGCACTCCCTCGGGGCGGCGCCCACCCGGAGTCTGAAGCCGCCGAGCCCCAGGACAGAGACTGCAGGGATCCGGGGGTGCGGGTAGCTCCTGGTTGGGGCCACGGAAAGATGCCGGTCCGTAGGGGCCACGTCGCGCCCCAAAACACTTACCTGGACACCATCATCCGCAAGTTCGAAGGCCAGAGTGAGTGTGTGTGTGTTGGGACGGGGATGGGGGCGACCCGGAGTCCTCGGTCGGTGGCAGAAGCGGTCAGACCCCTTTACTAACTTACGTTGGGGCAAATAAGGGAGCGGGGGGGATTGAGCATTCTGAATGCACAGTCGTTCCCTTTGAAGTCCTGTAACACCTCCATCCTGGAAAATGGGCAGAGCGCAGCTCATACCCCTTCCCACAAAATAGTTTTGCTGGTGCTCAAGCCCGGGCTCCCTTTGTAATCACTGCTCTGCTCCTCCCTCCGGACTGTTCCGCAGCTCTGAGGTTTCCTTGACTCCTTCCCTCTCCCCTGGACAAGCTGCTTTCCCCGGGTCCAACCCCTAACTGGTCACACCTCTCCTCTCTCCTCTGGACCTTCTCCACCGTTTCCAAGTCTTGAGCCTTTCTCCCACTTCACCAACCTTTGCTGCCCGGCCCTTCCCAGCATCCCCAGGATGGCTCCCCCGGCCTGCTCTACCAGTCACCATCCTCCCCCGCCTCCTTCACCCTACTTTACTCTGAGGAGGAATGACTCCCCTTGATCTTGGTTCTTCTGCCTTCCCCCACCCTGACCTTCCCCTCCTTCCAAGCCATGCTCCTGCAGCTAAATTCCCACATCTAAGTTCTCTTTCCCGCTGCCCTCAGTCCCTAAAATCTTCCCCTCCCTGCTGCCCAGTCCTGGCTTCCCGGGTCTCGCTACCGCCTACCTTCCACCCCAGGTCGTAAGTTTCTGATAGCCAATGCTCAGATGGAGAACTGCGCCATCATTTACTGCAACGACGGCTTCTGCGAACTCTTCGGCTATTCCCGAGTGGAGGTGATGCAGCGGCCGTGCACCTGCGACTTCCTCACCGGCCCCAACACCCCGAGTAGTGCCGTGTCCCGCCTGGCGCAGGCCCTGCTGGGGACTGAGGAGTGCAAGGTGGACATCCTCTACTACCGCAAGGATGGTGAGACACAGCTGGGCTAGGGGTTCCGCAGGGCAAGTTTGGCTAGCCCCTTCTCTTGTCCCACCAGATGACCTGGGGAGGACATTTACCTGAGGACTAACGGGCCTGGACAAATCCTGCCCCCTCTCTGGGCCTCAGTTTCCTCACTGGCAGGGGGAGGCAATGGGTTTTGCTGCTCTGCCATCTGTGGTCTTTTCCAGGGGCTTGAGACAGGCTCATCCAGCAACTGGTACCGACCTGGGGCAGAGCCTCCTGCTCCATCATCCCTCCCCTTTGTCCTCGGTCTCCTGGCTGTCCACTTTGTCACTGTCAGCCCCAGCTGTCAGGCAGCTGGGGTGGAAATTAACCTTCCCTCATCTGCATCTGCTCTGGGGATTAGGGGAGGAATCACCCCCTCAAGGCCTCTGCAACCAAGGAAGGCATGGGAGCTCCTGGTTAGCTCATCCAGCCCCAGCTCTTTGAGAAGATAGGGTCTGGAGTTTGCCCCAACCAAGAAGCTCATCCAGATGGAGTTTGTGTTGTTGCTGCTACTCAAACTTATTGCAAGCAAAACAGTCAGGGGCTAAGAACAAAGCCCAGCAGCCTTTGAGCTGATCCTCTCAGGACTACAGTATCCCTGGTACAGCTGGGAAAGAAGTATTGATAGGACCCAGGATCGGAGCCTGAAAGCCCCTTGGAAATCACCACAGTCAAGGCCCACAGCTAATCTGGTTCTAGATCAGAATTACCTGGGGCATATTTTCTAAAACGTATCTTCCCTAGAGAGAGAGGTTGATTTACAAGGCACAAGATGGGACTAGGCAAGTGTATTTGGAAAAGCTCCTAGCAGTTCTGATGGCCTGATAAGTTAGGAATCACTGGCTTAGACAAATTCCTTCATTTTGTGGCTGTGGAAGGGACTTGCCAAAGATCTCACTGCTAGGTCCAACATGACCCTGGAGCCAAAATCTCTGGACCCTTCCTAAGAGATGTCTGTTCTGAGTAATCTCAAGAGGAAAGAAAGGCCCCAGTTTTCTGTCCTTGGAGACAGGACTTTTGGAAGAGGAAGCCTCCAGAAAAGAGAAGCTCCTATGGAAAATAGTACGAGGGCCAGCAGAGCACAGAAACATGCTTTTTGGACTGGGACTGATGGGTACTGAGACCTCAGATTCCAGAGGCCTGGGTGTGTGTGAGTGAAACAGTATGAGTGTGAATGTTAGAATGTGTGTGCGTGTGCATGCATGTGTGTAATTATGGTCTTCAGGGGGAGCTTCCTGGGCATGTCCTGACTACCGCCGTGGCTGTCCCTCGCCACTGCCACCAGCAGGTTTGGCAGAACTCATAGGGTTAATGAAGTCGGAATATTTTTAAAAGCTGTGAGCTCACGTCTTCACGTCACTGCAGGGAGGAGGTGACAGTCAGGGGAGTGAGAAGGGTCCTGGAGGAACAGGATGGGACAGCAGGAGGTAAGGGGAAGCAGGTCCTTTGTGCTCCCTTCCTTGACCCCAAAGCTCTATCTGTACCTCAGAGGGTGAAAGTTGATTCCAGATCCTGGGGATGCCAGGTCAGGGCTCCTGGAGTCCCATCAGGACCCTGCAGTTGCCTGGGTAGGGGACAGAGGTCAAGGCCAGGCCTTAACTCAAACGCTGCCAAGCTCCTCCAGCTATTAGAAAAGACCCAACTAGAGTCGGAGGGTGGTCCTGGGTGAAAACAAAAACTATCCACATATCTGCCGCTGTATAAGTTCCAGTCTGCCCCTATCCCACCCTCAGTCCTTCTCGTCCTGTTGCCCAAGCCTTTGACCATCTGGACATTCCTGAAATTGACCTGAAACCCAGAAAAGGGAGCTTCCTGGCCTGCATTACACTAAGGGAAGGATATAGTGCTCAGATAACTCATGTTCACCTTATGGTCCTCTCTGACCACATGATTCTTTTTTTAAAATAATCATATTCACCTGCACCTTACAGTCCTGCTGAGGGATATCCTAACGGTGATTTATTTCTTTTCCAGATCAGTATTTTCTCTGTACTCCACCCCCTGACTTTAGGGAGGTAGGAAGGGGTCCTGAACAGATCCCTAGCTGGTTTATTTATAATCCTCTTTTTCTCTAAAAGGGTAATCCACTGCATAAAGTCGATTCAGAGGCCCGAGCACTTGGTAAAAATCACCCCCTTGAGCCAAGGTCAGAGACCTTTGAGAAATCAAGGCTCTTTCTCCATCTGTCTTTGCTAGGAAAAGTAAGAACTTAACAGAAAGGGAGGAAGGGGGACTGTCACGAGACTAGAACGAACGAGAGCAGTCATGGAGAGCACTCAGCCCTCCCTTACCCCTGCCCCCACTGGGCACGTGCCAGAGGGCTCAGCCCTGCCTGCCTTTGCTAGTCCTCTACTCCGATGAGCCTAAACCAGGATCCTGTGATCTCTAGGCCAGACTAGAGGAGGGCTGGGGCTTCTCAGTCCTCAGCTCCACTTAAGGAGGACAGGGCAGGGCTGAGGTCAGGAGCTACTGTCCCTCCCTTCCTTCCCCCAGTGTTTCCCACACACTCACCTATAAATGCCAGGAGGGCCGAGCTGGAGGCTGCATGGTGCAGAGTGTCATAGCCACCCTCCTAGTGGCAGCTCTTGCAGCACCGCTGGTCCCTGAGGGCTCAGCACATTGCTAGGTGGAGTGTGTGGAGAGAACTCAGAGTAAGGCTGTGGGTGTAGCTCAGTGGCTGAGTGCCTGCCTGCCTATCATGGGTGAGGCCCTGGGTTCAAACCTCAGTACCGTACGTTCAAAAAAAGGGGAAGGCTGTGAAGAGACTAGAGTGAGGGTCAGAGTGGGGAGAGGAGGTGGGAAAGGAGAAGCTGAATGGGAAGCACCAGGGGAGCCCCTAGAAGGGAAAAATAGGCAGACTGCGGTTTCTCCTCCGCAAGAACGCCGGAACAGTGCCGCTCCCGGGCACAGCCTCTGGCACTCACCTACTGCTCACCCAGTCACCGGTGGGCTCTGGGCTTTGGAGAAGCAAGGACAGCTACCCTGGGGTACAGGGAGAGGATGTGCTGGATTCTTCCAAATTCTCGAAGGCTCCTGTCTGCCTACCCGAGACTGCTTACCCCAGACTGCTCCAACTCTGACAGCTATGAGGGGCTGGTCTCTGGCCCATCCCAGTCTGGGTTTGCAAACAATAATGGATAGGAAGACTGAGCCCTGGCAACACCCAGCAACATAGAAAACCTGGAGGCCTCTCCGCTCTGCCCCCTCCCTGCCCCCTCCCTGCCCCCTCCCAGGCTAAGTCTGCCCAGTACCCAAGAGACTGGGGACATAATCTGGCTTTAGAGGCAGGACCCTTGCCACACCCCAGGCTGACAAGAGTGACTATAGCAATGCAACCCCAGGAGAGGGTCAAGCCAGGCCGGGGGCCTCTCTGCGGTGTGGATGTCTCCCCTGGGCCCAGGCAGCAGCTGGCAGATAGCTGCCTGGTGCCTGGGCGTCCAGGAATCTGATCCGGAGGAAAGAGGGAGGGAAGAGGAAGGAGGCTCAGCTGTACCCCTGACAGCTATGAGAACGGGCTGGGGAGGTGAGCAGCAGAGAGAGAGTCTAGGAAAGGGGGATTCTAGTGGCCCTCAAAGTAGCAGTACCGCTGCTGGCTGGCCACTGTGCCCTCGTATTTACACATACATGCTTTCTTTACTTCATCAACAAACACTCAGGAGAAGTGAGGCAAATCCAAATCTGCCTTTGGGAGTACAGCTCTGCCTTTTGATTTGCGTGGTCACCTAAGGCCCCTGTCCCTGAGGATCCTGCCCTTTGGACCTGATACCTGCCAGCAGTTTGAATAGAGGGACATAACCGCCACGGAATGCCTGCTCATAGGGTCTGCCCTGTGGTACGCGTCATTTCAACTGGTTTTGCTCCATCCACCCGTGGGAAGGTAGGAGGCAGGAGCCTGGAGCAGAGAGCGAGCAGAGACTGCGGCCAGAGGTACAAGGGGCCAACAGCTGCGTGTGAGCTGCCCCGGAGGCGGAGCAAGGAGCGAGGGGTCTGCTCTGCCCCCAGGTGCCCTCTTCCTTCCCTCTGACCCCCAGGACACTGCCCTGCTTGCTCCCTGGTCCCAGCCTCTGCCTTGGGACCCTGCCCCAGCGCCCTCCTCCCAGACAAGGCCTTTCCCTTTGCCAAGCGGTTGTGTGCCAAGAGCCCAGGGCTTCTTGCTCCACGGCCCCTCCCAGCCATGGCAAATCAGTTTCTCAGAACCTGGCCTATCACCTGCAGAACAGAAGCCTATGCCTGCCCCGCAAAGACCTCCTGAGGCCTGCTGTGCCCATTGGCTCGATGCCCAGCACTTAGTGTGCACCCAGCAACACGTTCCTTCCAGTGTCAGAGAAGGGGGCATTTTTGTGGTATGGCATTATGGGAGCTCAGCCCAGAGCGACATGGGGGTAGAGTGCCCCAGCTCGCCTCCCCCACTTAATCCACCCCATCTGCTCAGCTTTAATTACAGCACAAACAAACCTGGAGACTAAGCCCTGAACTGAGGGCCGTGCCTGGACTTGGACCTAATGCCACATTATCTGCTAATGAGCAGCTTAGTTGCTCTCCCTATCTCTGCCCTGTGGGCGGGGCACTGGCCGGCCAGCCTTACCCACCCTCTGCCCATTAGCGCCGGGCACTGTCTAGACCTCTTCTCTCCAGTGAATGCCCTTAACTTGACCTTCGCTCAGCCTCCTCCCTGGGCAATGGAGAAGACCCTTTCAGTGACCCTCCCCCGCCCCTGCCAATGCTGTTTACAGCCTCCAGCTTCCGATGCTTAGTGGACGTGGTACCCGTGAAGAACGAGCAGGGGGCTGTCATCATGTTCATCCTCAACTTTGAGGACCTGGCCCAGCTGCTGGCCAAGAATAGCAGTCGCAGCCTGACCCAGCGCCTGCTGTCCCGCAGCTTTCTGGGCTCCGGTGAGTGAGTGAGGTGGGCTGCGGGTGGGGGTGACCCGGGCAAGCTGGGGTCACCCACTAGAGCAGCCAGTGTCCTGGCCCTGGCTGCTCTGACCCAGGCCCTGGTTTCAGAGGGCTCTCATGGCAGGCCGGGTGGACAGGGGCCCGGCCCAGGCAGGGGCAAGTACAGGACTGTCAGCCAGATCCCGCAGTTCACACTCAACTTCGTGGAGTTCAACCTGGAGAAGCACCGCTCCGGTTCCACCACAGAGATCGAGATCATTGCTCCACACAAGGTGGTAGAGCGAACGCAGAACGTCACTGAGAAGGTCACCCAGGTGCGAGCCGGCAGGGCAGGGAGGGCAGGGCTGTGCCGGTCCCCTAGGGTCCCCTGCCAAGCCCTGGACCTGGGGTTCTCTGGGATATTGACTAACAGAGATGCAGCTTGTCCAGAGGCTTGTCCTGAGGCTAAGCTCCCGGAGGCGGGAGAAGCTGGAGTCAGCAGGGCCTGTAAGAGTGCTGCCTCTTAGCCCCGAAGGAGTTGGGGGTAGGAGGGAGCGGGGCGGCATGCGCAGGCCACCACTGGGGATCTGCCCAAGGCACTTCCAGTCCCAGGAAAGGATGAGTGGAGACAGCACGTATCAGGGACACAAAGAAAAAAGGAGAGGAAGAAGGGGTGGCAGGAGGCCCCAGCTCTGCCCTTGCCCCTTGCCTCTGACACGACAGCCACCTCCCCTCAGTATGCACACAGGATCCCCCTGCACGTCCAGAAGAGACAGGGTAGAGCTGACAGCTATTAGCATTGTCCCTCAGTGTCCCCTCCCCATGCGCCTCTTACTGCGCAGCTGAAGGTAAATGTCCCTGCGTGCATGCTCCTTTCTCATGGGGCTTGGTGGCCCGACCATTCCACAGGGAAATATAGAGTCTTGCTTGAGGTCCCAGTGACCAGAGCCCTGGTACTGATTCCCCGTGTGACTCTGGACAAGGGACAGCCCCACCTTCTGGGTCTCAAGACTTTCTCGTGAAAAAGGCCGCTAGTTAGATGACACGGTCTCCGTAGACCCATTTGACGTTAAGTAGCGGTAGCCCTGCAGACAGTCAAAGCGCTAATCCACAGGGAGGCCTAGGCCAAGGCTGAGTAAGGGATTGCAAGCCTTCTGGGGGGCCGTCTCCTCACAGGGGCAGCTCTTTTTCTCTCTGCCCCTCTCCGTCAGAATAGTCAGTTCTGGAACCAGATATGAAAGAGACCATTCAATCCCCCACTGAGTGCAAGGACCCTGGGGAAGGAGATAGCCCAGGCTGTAGCGCTGGGCCTTCTGAGGTCAGACAGGTGAGAAAACCCCCAGATGCCAACACCAAGGCCTTTAAATTGGCAAACTTGGTGGCCGCCATGATGAGGGGTCCTTGGATTGGAGAACTGTCTCTGCAGATGGACAGGCCCGGCTGGGGCCCTTGGTACCAGCCCCTATCTTGTTTCCTACCTAGTCCTTCTTCGCTTCACTACCCACCCAACACGGGCCCTAAGGCCAGGGCTGATACCCAACAGCTCAGAGGAGGGGACTGGCATGACCCAGAACAGGGAAGTTACACTGACCTCTACTAGAACTTTAAGTGCCTAAGGCTATGATCTCACTCCCAGGTCCCCGATGTTCCTGGGCAGGGTGAGCTTTGCGTAGAAGGGCCTTCATGCTGGCTTCAGAGGCAGCGGGAGACCAAGCGTCAGTGTGGCCCCCGGTCTGGGGTCCGGAGGAGCTAAGAGGCTGGACACGCCTCTCAGCAGCTTGGAACTTTCTTCCCTATCCCTGCAGCTTTCTCTCACTCCCCAGGCAGACAGGGTCAGGGACTGGCCTGGCGGAAGGGGAGGACACTGACAGCCCTGGGTATGGCGACTCAACCTGCACGTGGAAACAGAGCCCAGGCTGGCAGCACTCATTCGGAGGCCAGTAGCTGAGGGCCCATGTGGACTGCATGTTGGAACACAGGGACGAGCAGGCAGGTTGAGACAATAGCCTGGCTGAGCTTATAGCCTAGTGAAGGGTAATATGTGGTTAGGACTGTACATGGGGACAGAGCAGCTTCCTGAGGAAGTGCAGCATGGGCCAAGCTCTAAAGGTCCAGCAGAAAGTTACTGCAGGGTGAGGACACTGTGGCCTCCAAGGTAGGGTTTGGACGTCTGATCAGGACCCTTGTGATGGACACCAGCCCTCTGATAGAACTTGCTTCTTGTGGTTCCATCTGCTAACTGATCTTGTCTGTGATGTCAAAGCTGCACACTGCAGATTTTCTCAAACTGGAACCTTCCACCAGACTCCACCTGGTAGGAAGTGGTCGACCCCTCAGGCTGTCCCCTTGGTGGAGGGATACCCCACACAGGATAAGGAAGTGGGAGGACTGACCCTGTAGCGCAGCACCTATCCCCTAATGCAAACAGATACATCTCATGCCATGATGGCAGCCATACACAGTCTGTTGTACTTTGTTACCCGTTTTGCCCATGCGGGAAGTGAGGCATCAGAAGTTACAAAACTTGCTGCAAGGCGTGCAAGTAGCAATTGTCAGGCCTGGGATTCAATTTTGGAAGCCTTGGGACTGGGAGTTTAGCTCAGCGGCACAGCTCCTGCCTAGCAAGCGCAAGGTTGTAAGTTTGATTCCCAGTACCAGAAACCCCTCCCCACAAAAAAATTCAATTTTTGAAGCCTGGCTTCAAAACCCATGTCCATCCTACTGTCTAGTCTCTTTCATTTCCCCTCCTGGGCAGCCGGGCAAAGCCTGAGCATGTTGGGCCAGGCCCCAGTGATGCTCCGTTGCCCGTAGTCTTGGAGGCAGGAGTAGGATGGGCAAAATGGAAGAAGCGCCACTGAATGTATGGATTCAAACTCCCTGGGACATGTGTGAAGGAGCCAGGATTCCCTGATACCCAGGGCCTATCAAAGATCCAGATTGGCTATTCCCACACCAAACTCAGCTCTTTCCACTGACACCTCTGAGAGTTGGTCCCAAGGGGAAGCCTTCACTGGTCCAAGGCCCCAGAGTCCTCAGAAATGAAGAGGCTATTCTAGGGGTAATCGGCTCCTTTCAGGAACTCCCACCACAGGGGACTTCCCAAGCCCACCAGAGAGGATTGACCACCAAGTTATCCCCTCAGTCCCAGCTCTTCTCTGGGATATGCCCATAGATGACTCACTCTGGGATGGCTTGTTTCTGAGGGGGGCTTGTGAGCTTCAAACCTAGCATCACCATGGAACAGATCTGGACCCTTTGTCCTTTGTCCCACCTCCTCTGTCTCCACTTCCCCCGTTCCCTCTGCCCTTTGCAGCCTTTGTCACCCACCCTTTCCCATGGCTCCCTTCCTAGGCTTCTCCCCAAGACCTGTCTCGCCGGCAGTGGCCAACCCCACTGACCCCTCATGGCCCTCACCCCCAGGTCCTGTCCCTGGGTGCAGACGTGCTGCCAGAGTACAAGCTGCAGGCACCACGCATCCACCGGGGGACCATCCTGCACTACAGCCCCTTCAAGGCTGTGTGGGACTGGCTCATCCTGCTGCTGGTCATCTACACAGCTGTCTTCACGCCCTACTCGGCTGCGTTCCTGCTCAGTGACCAAGATGAGTCACAGAGGGGAGCCTGCGGCTACACCTGCAGTCCACTCACCATGGTGGACCTCATCGTGGATATCATGTTTGTCGTGGACATTGTCATCAATTTCCGTACTACCTACGTCAACTCCAACGATGAAGTGGTCAGCCACCCCCGCCGCATTGCTGTCCACTACTTCAAGGGCTGGTTCCTCATCGACATGGTGGCCGCCATCCCCTTTGACCTGCTCATCTTCCGCACTGGATCTGATGAGGTGAGCAAACTGCATCCAGGCCAGCAGCTGTGGTTGTGCCCTGCAGCCCAGTCCTGAGGTCTCCCTGCCTCACAGCCCTGGATGCAAGCAGACCCTGGCACTGGGCAGCTTGACCAAAGCAGGCAGAGGTGGGATAGAGGCCTTGGGCCTCTGTCATCTTCCAGACCAGCTGGGGAAGGACCAGCCATGGGCTGTCCCTCTGCCCAGCTCTCTGAGCAGCCCAGAGGGAGGCGCAGGCTACCAGCGGGTCCTTGCTGCCCCGAATTTCTGCCCCTTCTGAGATGGGCCTTTCTAAAGTCTCCACCCCTCCCACGTCCACGAATTAGAAACGGGACCCACAGCCTGCACCCCCAATGCAACCTCACCCCCTTCAGGCCCCAGCCCCTCCTGCGTCCCATGGGTGACATGAGATCGTTTTCACACTCTTCTTGGCTTCTGACCCACTTTACCCGCTTCCCTATCTCCTCGGGGCCAGCCTTCCGTCCACATCCACCCTGCCTTCTAGGCATCAGTCACCCCCACCACTCCGGCCTGTCCAGCAGGGGGTGTTCGGCAGCATCCTGTGTCCACCCCCCAGCAAATCATGCACAAGTCCTATCCTCTCCACCCCTGCCTACCCTGAGGAACCTTCTTCCCCACTTCTGCCCCTCCACACAGCAGCCAGCACGAAGTTCAGATCACTTACCCGCCTCTGCCACTCACCCCTAAGAACCTTCAGTGGCTCTCACACTTTCAGAATAAAAGCCGAGCTCCCGATGGACCCCGAGGCCCACAGGAGCAGCCCCTCCCACCCCCTAGCCTCGTGTTTCACTGCCACCATGGCCCACTCTGCTCCAGGCTGCAGTGCCAGGCTGTTTCCCATCTGGTCCCTACCACTTCAAACCTCTCTCGTGCCACCCACCTGCCAGGAGTGCCCTTCCTCACCCCCTCTGCCTGGAGACCTAGCCCGAGCTCTCAAGACTCACATCTGTCTCTTCCTCTGTGAAGCCTCTCTCACCTGCCCCGTAGAATGGACTTCCCTGTCCTCCATGCTCCTAGTGGACTTCTTTCCTGCAACCAGAATACTGTTTTCAGCTTTAGGCAGAGAACACCGTAAGGCTCCACCCCGTCTCTATCCCACTGCCGAATGCCCGGCCTAGAGCAGATTTTTCATTAGTGTTTGTTAAATGACTGTGTGACTGTATGTAGGCATGAACCAATGTGAGCCTGAACACACCCTTTCCCTGCCCCACAGACCACCACCCTGATTGGGCTGCTGAAGACAGCGCGGCTGCTGCGGCTGGTGCGTGTGGCGCGGAAGCTGGACCGCTACTCTGAATACGGGGCAGCGGTGCTCTTCCTGCTCATGTGCACCTTTGCCCTCATCGCCCACTGGCTGGCCTGCATTTGGTACGCCATCGGCAATGTGGAGCGGCCCTACCTGGAGCCCAAGATCGGCTGGCTGGACAGCCTGGGCGCTCAGCTTGGCAAGCACTACAACGGCAGCGACCCAGCCTCCGGCCCCTCGGTGCAGGACAAGTATGTCACAGCCCTCTACTTCACCTTCAGCAGCCTCACCAGCGTGGGCTTCGGCAACGTTTCACCCAATACCAACTCTGAGAAGGTCTTCTCCATCTGCGTCATGCTCATCGGCTGTGAGTATAACCTTGTGCTCTGGGCCTTGGGAATTCTGGTAGGGTTTTTTTTGGGGGGGTAGTGGTGTTTGTTGTTGATTTGAAATAGACATAACATACAGTAACAATGCCTGTGGTACTCTGATCCTAAATGCACAACACGTTTATGCGTGCACCTTTGTACAATCAGTTATACACAGAATTTAACACCCAAACTGCCCTTGCGATCCACCAGGCACCAAGACTAGCGTTTGTAGAGCCCGGTGCAAAATGGAAATGGAGGGAGCTGGGGATTTAGCTCAGCGGCAAAGCGCCTGCCTGGCAAGCGCAAGGTCGTGAGTTCGGTTCCCGGTACCGGAGAAAAACCAAAAAAAAAAAAAAAAAAAAAAAAATGGAAATGGAGGAGCCCTTCTTGAAAAATTAGTAAGAATGTTGAGCTTAGGTGGGGGCCTGTGTGACTGCACAGGCTGAAGCAGACCCTGCCAACCATCCCCCTAAGCACTTCACAGCACCCACATTTCACTCCTTCATGAGCCCAGGTTACAGGGCAGGAACTGAAGGCCCTAACTCCCTGGGACCGCACAACTAGTGAGTCTCTGCGCCCAGGGCGGGGCCAGGCGGCCAGCTCCCTGGTGGTGCGGCTCTCAGTCGCTGCACCCCGCTTCCTGTCTGCTAAGACACCTAGTTTAGGAACTTGAAAGCAGCGTGGAATTTTACACAGATGAAGTTGTCATGTTCAGAGTATTTAGAGATGTGAAAGCCCAGAAAAACAAAAACAAGAGAAAAAAAATGGGTGAAAACAACAGACCAAGAGTTTTCCCATCATAATTTTACGACTTGAAGGAGAAAACAGATGCGAACAACAGCGGAATCCACTGCCCTAGTTCTTTCTTCAAAGTAGCTTGGCCTCAGGGCCCGGGAAAATGCCAAGAGGCCCAGGGACAAGGGCAACAAACCCAAGGGCCTTTGTTCCCATCTGTCCTGGCATTGATTGTCCTGGCACTTCGGGCATTGCCCTGGACTGGGGGTTCCTCACCAAGCGGCCGCCAGGAGAGGGAGGCTTGGCGTGGTGCGGCCTGGTTTCCCGGCCAGAGGCTCACTCCCTGCCCGGCCTCCAGCACTCATGTATGCCAGCATCTTCGGCAACGTGTCAGCCATCATCCAGCGCCTGTACTCGGGCACCGCGCGCTACCACACGCAGATGCTGCGTGTCAAGGAGTTCATCCGCTTCCACCAGATTCCCAACCCGCTGCGGCAGCGCCTGGAGGAGTACTTCCAGCACGCCTGGTCCTACACCAACGGCATCGACATGAACGCGGTGAGCCCCGCCGCCCAGGGTGGGGCAGCCCACCAGCTCTGGGTGGGAAAAGGGCAAACTCCCGGGGAGGTGGGGTCCCCCGAACCCCACCCCGCCGCACCCCTCTGGACTCGCCCCCCACCCTCCACGCTGCGCAGGTGCTGAAAGGCTTCCCCGAGTGCCTGCAGGCCGACATCTGCCTGCACCTGCACCGCGCGCTGCTGCAGCACTGCCCGGCCTTCCGCGGCGCCAGCAAGGGCTGCCTGCGCGCGCTCGCCGTCAAGTTCAAGACCACGCACGCGCCGCCCGGGGACACGCTGGTGCACCTGGGCGACGTGCTCTCCACGCTGTACTTCATCTCCCGCGGCTCCATTGAGATCCTACGCGACGACGTGGTCGTGGCTATCCTAGGTGAGTCAGGCCGGGTGGTCCTGGCCTGTGCTGGAGGACAAGCCAGAGGGGCCCACACCTGGGCCGCTTTCTTCCTAACGAGCATCGCCGCTTCCTTTACTGACCAGCCATGAGCCCAGCGTGCGTCTCACAGAGCGCAGTACCCAGCTCCCGGAATCCTTAACACAACCCTCTGCCGTAGGTCCCATTTTTCTGAGAGGAAGGTTGAGGCTCTTAGAGGTCATGCTGGTATTCCAAGGCTGTGTGTCTGACTTAGAAGCCCAGGCAGGTTCCTTCCTCTCTTACAGTCCTGGGGAGATTAGGATGGCAGGTGAAAGGTCTTAGGTGGAGCAAATACCCCGGGGGGCCAGCCTCAGTCAGTGCAGCAGCAGAGATAGCAATGGGAGCGGCAGACTCCAGGCCCAAGCAGCTTTGCCAGCTGCCTGCTGTGGGGCCCGGGGAAGTCGCTTTACTCTGTGGGCATCACAGGGCCCTCGCCTTCCTGGCCTTCCTTGTGACTTCAGCGTCACCCTGAGTCTCTGATCCCAACTCAGGCTTGCCCCCCGCCTTGGGCTGCACGGCCTGGGCCACCTCCAAGCCCAGCACACAGGTCCCCCAGCGCCGCTCTGCTCATGCCTCTCCCCTGATCGCCAAGCACCAGTGCTCTGCCCTCTGCACGCTCTACACCTCGCCCAGGCTGGCTCTTCTCTCCCTCAGCCTTGGCCTTCGCCGGTGCCCTCAGGACCGCCGGAGCTCTGTACCGTGCCAGTCTCTCCTTAGACTAGAATGTTCCGTTCCTTTTTGGTATGGTCACCCCAAGATTCCAAAAGCAGACCAAACTCAACATATCCCAACCTGAAACCACGACTTGCCCTCAAAAGCAGCGCCTTTGGCATCTCCATCACCGTGGACCCACCCACTGCCAGGGCTGCACTCAACTAGGGAAGGGTCCTTCCGGCCTCCCGCCTTCTAGTCAGCCGCCGTGCCTCTGTTCCTCTCTTGGCACCTCTCCATCCCACACCTGTCTCCGTCCCTGCCTGGGTGTGGCCCTCATCGTGTCTTTCTGGGCAGGTGTGAGGAGCTCCTTTCCTGTGGCCTTGCTTATTGTCTACTCCTGTGCTCCACCTTTTGCCAGAGACCTGAGATACATGTCTACACATATTCCTCTTCTGCTCAAAAATCCCTCAGTGCGCCGGGTGCGGCGGGCACACCTGTAATTCCAGCACTCAGGAGGCTGGGGCAGGAGGCTTGGCTTGAGTTCGAGGCCAGCCTGGGCTACATAATAAGTTCAAAGCCAGCCTGGAATACATAGTACATGCACGGTTCTACTCAGTCTGGCCCCCTGAGTCCTGCTACCCAGCCCCCTGGCACTTCATGTTCCAGCCATACAGAGTATTGGTTCTCTAAACCTGACATATCTGTCCCTCCTGTGTACCTCTGCATATGCTGCCACTCTGCTTGTAGTGCATGCCGTGTGCCTGCCTGGCAGGCACCCTTCCAGGCTGAGCTCAAGCACTCATTCCCAGCTTGCCTTACAAGTGCTACCCATGTGGGGGGAGGGATAATAATTATTATTAATAGTTAGGAAGCTAGTCCAACTTATGTTTCAGTTACAAATATGAAACCCTCTCATTTTGTCCTGAGTAGATCATAATCCTTCACCTACCAGAAAACCAGCATATTATCACATTGCCCAGATTTCACATGGCAGGGTTTCATGTGTGACGCTGGTGAGTCCCTCCTCTCTCTAGGCCTCAGGCCCCTCCTCTGTGGGTGACCTGCCATGCTGTTCTTTTAGGGAGACATGCCCAAACTCTGACCTACGCTGGGCCATTAGTACCCTCTGCCCACAGGTCACCAGGCTGAGGCCGATGGACTTTCTTAGGGGAATGGCAGTCGAAGTAATCACGGTCTACAGCATCCTCGGCCCTGGCCTCTCTGTTCTCAGCTCTGACCCCGCAGTGTGATCACATGCTATTTCTTCTGCTCAGATTGCCTTTCTCCTATAGACCTGGTTTTCCTTAATTCTCTCTGAATTTCCCTGCCTGTGTAAGACCCACTCCCGGCTCCAACCTCCCCTGGCAGAAGGAGCTCCTCCCTCCCCCATGGCCCGACAGCTTGGTTTTCCTCTGTGCTGAGGCTCTACAGTTCATTCTGTAATTGTGTTGGCTGCCTATCTGTCTGCTTATTTGACAACCTCTTCTTCCTGCTTGTATTCTGTCTTCGTTATTTTCTCACTGCTGGAACAAAATACCCAACACCCACAAGTTAAAAGAGGAAAGGTTTATTTTAGCTTAGTCTGTAGAGGTTTAAGTCCATAGTCAGCTGGTTCCAAGGCAGGGCAGCATGGCAGAGAGGTATTTGCAGAGGAGAAACGGTTCATGGTATGGCAAGCAGGAAGAAGTGAGCCTCCTTCTTTCCCTTTTTATTCCATCTAGGCTGCAAGCCTATTGGTCAGTTCCACCCACACCCAGGATGGGTCTTCCCTCTTCAGTAAATCCATCACCCACAAACCCAAACTATGATATTCAGGGGATTAATACAGTATCACACACCCATGATCCAGTCACTCCTCGAAGTCCCACCTGTGGGGGCATGAGGCTTTGAGAGGACACCTAGATACAAACCATAACATATCCTACGACTAGCACATCACCTGGCATAGAGAAGGCCCAATATCCTTGCCATCTGCCCTGAGTACCCACCACATGTCCACCCTGTGACCACATGTCCACCCTGTGACCTCCAACCTTTACAGCACCTTTCACTGACCTCGTCTGGTGCCTCTTGCTTTTGGGGCACTTTCTTGACAGCCCAGTGGGTTAGGCAGGGAAGATATAGTTGTACCCATTTTAGAGATGAAGACACTGGAGTTCAGAGAGGGGAAGACAAAGAGATAGAAGCCTTGGAATTCTTGAAGGTGCTAGGAGGGTCCCCTGTACCCTGCTGCATGGCACTGGCACCCTGAGGAAGCAGAAAAGGTTGGGAATGGGCCCTTCGGTGGCCCTCACTACCTCCTGTCTGCTGGATGGGAGTGGGAGCAGTGTTGAACAGCCTGGCTAACACAAGGGGGATTCTGATGAAGGGAGGGTCTTGGAGACAGAAGGGGATCCACAAGCTCAGGACAGGAGCAGCTCTGAGGGGACCTCTGTGAAGCTCAGAAGACAGGAAGGACATTCCTTGATCTGTATCCTCTTCCTACACAGCCCGAACATCAGGCCCATCCCCAGGCCCCATCCCAACGGGATCCATGAGGGGAGGGTCGTGTGCAAGGGACTCTCAGGGAGGCTCCTGATAAGGGAGCCTGGAGCCAGACCCAGGAGGGACCATCACCCCTCTGGTTGGCAGGGAAGAATGATATCTTTGGGGAGCCCGTTAGCCTCCACGACCGACCAGGCAAGTCCAGCGCGGATGTACGGGCCCTGACCTACTGTGACCTGCATAAGATCCAGCGCGCAGACCTGCTGGAAGTATTGGACATGTATCCTGCCTTTGCGGACAGCTTCTGGAGTAAGCTGGAGGTCACCTTCAACCTGCGGGACGTGAGTCTGAGCCAGTGGGCCAGGGTGGGTGGTGGCTTCTCTGCTGCTGTCCCCTCCCCCAGTCTCTCCCCTTCTCACCTGATCTGCACAGGAGACAGCCAGTAAGGACCCTGTGTCATTGGGCCCAGCCCCTGGGAGCCATCAGGTGGCCCGAGTGCCCGATGACAGGAGGGATATGGCCCCATGTCCTGGGTCATCTGCAACCCCAAGACGCCTCTCAGGTCTCCTAACGCCAGGAGCGTGGGTAGCGAGGGACGCTGCTGAGGACACCTCTGGAGCGGTTTGAGGAGTCATATATTGTTCTCCTCAGAGGACGCTCCCCACCAGCCCACATGGAGGGGACATTCAAGAAAGAGGAGACTGGAATGGCGGCTCTCCTACCCCAAATCTCGCTGCTCATGGGAGGCTCTCCCGTGACTTCAGTGGGGGTCTCCCTGTCGCTGCCCCAATGCATTCATTGTCTCCAAACCTCTGTTCACCTGTCTGTATGCCCTCATGGGGAAGAGCCTGCAGGAAGCTCCCGGAGCTTCACCAGAGTGTGCCCAGCTGCCGGGTACCGTTTTCTCACCTGATCATGACAGGGGCCACAAGGGGAAGCAGGGGTAGGGGGAACAAAGAGGCCCAGCTTTGGTCTCTGTTGCTTGATGCTCTTGTTCCCTACAAGGCAGATGGGGGTCTCCAGTCACCACCCCAGCAGGCCCCCGGCAAAGACCGCCAAGGCTTCTTCCTCAGTGACAACCAGCCAGGTGAGCACAGCCAGCCCCTGCCGTCTTCTGCCCTTTCTTGGTCTTCTCCATCCTGCCTTCCCAGGGGGAGAGGACCCAGAGCCCCTCAGAGGGTAAGAGGGGAGTTCCTCCCTGCGCTTCCCTCTTCTCCCCAGTCTCCCAGCCCTGATGACCCGTGGTCTCGGGGCCGGAGAACCAGGGCTCACTGTTTACGGGTGCGGCTCCCAGGGGTAGGTGCTGCCCAGGCCCCTGGGGTCCACACCAAGGCACTAGGGAACCCCCTGGGCTGCAGATCCCTGAGCAATGAGACCAGAACTAGAAATCCCTATTCTAATAGCCCCTCCCCCATAAGCTGGGTCTCCAGCGTCTTTCCAGGGGTACAAGCTACCAGGTCCTGCAAACCAGACCTCTGTAGTAGCAAGGCCTCACGCTCCGGGGCACCCAGGTAAGGAGAGCTACTCCCCACACTATTCTATGGCAGGTAAAGGGACAGCACCAGCTCTTTGGGGGAAGGACAAGCCTACAGAACCAGCCACTTCTGTGTGGAGCAGAAGTGTCCCTTCCTTCCTGCAGGTGCGGCGCCATCCCTGAGCTTCTCAGATGCACCTGGCCTCTGGCCTGGGTTGCTCCAGCAGATGCCTCCAAGGCGCAGGCTGCCAAACCTGCAGCAGGGGCCAGAGTGCTGGTCTCAGGAACTCGGCTCCAGGCTAGAGCAGCTCCAAGCCCAGATGGACAGGTGAGAGCTCCCTCTGGCAACACTTGGAGGCAGCAAAGGGCAGGCCCCGCCTGCAGTAGGCTGGGCATGGGCGCACCCTCCTGGTGTGTTGGGGAATTGCTGGGTGTTGGGTGGGTTTTAGAGTGGCATCCATTTAGGGGCAGATTTTTCCAAGTGTGTCACTAAGAACAATTTTTTAGATGGCCTCTCCGAGAAAATCCTGGAATGCCAAGGAAGGTTCATGGGGAAAATGCACATCAATTGCAGAGTAAATCCTACGGAGCCTTGGAAAGAGCTGGGAGCAGGGCTGTGGTGGCAGAGACAGCTCAGGAGCAGCGCAGTCCTGGGTTCAAATTATGGCTCTGTAACTCACCAGCAAGAGTGTGGAACAGTTACTCAACAGCTCTGAACCTCAGTTTGCCCTTTTGTGCAAATGATGCAGTTAGAATGATCATGACAGCGCATCATTGGGGTTGAATGTTGTGGCCCCATGCCTGAACACTGGCATCATCAGAGTCAGGGATACGTTAAGAGAAATTTGGGCAAAGGCTGCAGCTCCCTGTGGGGAAATGGCTTCAGGTCGGTCCCAGGCTGCCACTGCATTGAGCAGGTAGAGCATGGAGACCGCAGAGTTGAGAGCTGCCCTCAGGACCTGAACTGCTCTTAGAAAATTGACCCTGACTGCAGCGGGTCTGTCTGGCAGGCTGGAGTCCCGCATGTCATCAGATCTCAGCCACATCCTGCAGCTGCTTCAGCAGCCCATGCCGCAGAGCCATACCAGCTACATCCTGAGAGGCCCTGCCTCCAGTGACCTGGCCTTGTTTCCTGCGGCCTCAGCAACTCAGAGTCCCGGGCCCAGGCTGCTCCTGGGCCATCTGCCCCCTGCACAGGTGAGAGGTGAGGGGGTTTCCAGCGGCTTCTCTGGAGACAGGTACATGCCCCCCCTACTCCCGGCTTGTTCTGAATGTGGCATCGGGCCCAGAACCTCAGTGGCTTCTGTTGTTCCCCCTACACAGCCTACTTCCACCTTTCTTCCCCTTCCCAGAACCTACCTTATGGTGACTTAAACACATGTACACCGAAGCACAGGAATTCCTCTTCCGGGATGCCTCACCTGGCTGTGGCGGTAGACAAAGCCTTGACGCCGTCCTTGGAACAGGAGCAGCCTGAGGGGCTCCTGTCACCCCTGCCCTCACCGCTGTGTCCCCTGGAGGTACAGGGGCTTGTCTGTGGTCCTCGCTTTCCCTCCCTGCCTGAACACCTTGGCTCTGTTCCCAAGCAGCTGGCGTTCCAGCGATATGGCTCAGATCCTGGATTCACAAGGAGTTAGGACCACTGAATCCCAGGATAAAAGCCTCCACACGGAGATTACAGGTGGCTGAGGTGAGAGTTAAGAATCGGAGGAAGCAGACAGGCCCAAAGATGGGCCTCTGAAAACCATTCTCCTAGAGTAACTACAAATTGCTAATCCAGGTGAGCCCAGGTGACATAGAGGACTTTGGCCAGCCCTCCTTAGGGGCTCTGTGTAGACAGCAAGCCCTCCCAAAGGCGGGGGAGCTCAGGTGTGAAGGTAGCTTAAAAGATAGATCTGTGAAGGAGAAGTAAGAAGTTTCTGGTCTTCCTTGAGAGTCTTGCTCCGGGTTGCACGTGTGATCACCTCCTGGCTCAAAATCAGCTGCCACCTCAAGGTCCAGTACTAAGGCAGAGGCCTGGACAGACCTCCTGCCAGGATCCTCCAACCAGGCTAGAGGTAAAGGTGTCCTCTCTGGTAGACGGGGCGGAGCAGAACTTCAGTCCTGAGCCCCTGCCTCCCTGCTAGTCCCATGACAATATCTGGGTCCCTTGAAGGCAGTGGAATGTCGCGAAGCTAATAAAGTCAACACATTTCATGTTGGGTCTGAGTCTCGTCCTGTTTTTAACTGCGCTGTGGCCTTCTCAAGGAGTGGGATAGGGGCTCACTCTTCACCACATCCAGCATGTTGGAGACCTGCAGGTGGCTCATCTGGGGCTGTTCTCCATACTGGGGTGGAGGGCAGCAGATGAGGTTTGGCGGCCACAGGGAATTATGACAACAGCGAACACTTGCCGGGCAGTCCCCGTGTGCTAGACACCACCTTGACTGCAACGCAGGTAATTAGATTCATGTCATCCTCAAAACACCTCTGAGCGGTCAGCATTACTATCTCCATGTAGGAGACGTAGCGTCAGTAGTGGAGAGACTAAGAAACTTAAATGAGCATGTGGAGGGCTTGTCCGTTTTCCAACACGGTGCTGGTTGCGTAGGTGTGTTCAGGTTGTGAAAACATGTGCTTCTGTGGGTGAACTGCACTCTAGGTTGAAAAAAAAAAAAAGAAAGAAAGAAAGTCCTGAGGGAGGGGGCTCCACACCTAGCTCCTCAGAAAGTGCAGGCAGTTGGATCATAGGCTCAAGCCTGTGTCCTTGCCCCAAAATAAAACAATAAAAAGGGCTGGGGGTACAGCTCAGCGGTGGAGTGCTTGTCTAGGCATGCATAAGGCCCTGGGTTCAGTCCTCAGTATCCAAAAAAATAATAATAATGCCCAACATGATAGGAAAAAGAAAACAATTTCAGCCCAGACAGTCTGGTTTGAGAGCATGTACATTTAGTCAATCTGCTGTAAAGTTAAAGTAGCTGTCCATTGGTCTTTAGTCCTTTTCTCCCGAAAAGATATTTTAAAATGTATGTCCCCCCCTCACATTATTGACGCCTGAAATAGTTCATTGATAGTTTCAAAGGATGGGATGTCTGATGTGTTGTAAATATTTTACTCCACCTTATATTAATCCACTTCCATAGTGATTTGAGGGCCTTGAACTTGCAATCCTCCTGATTCAGCCTTCCACGTGGCTGAGATTACAGGCACATGCCACTGTGCCCTGGCACATCATCCATTTTTAAAATATTGTCATTTTAAAAATTTATAACAAGACAACATTTGCAATTTTTTAAAAAACCTATTTCTCTTTCATTAAAAAAATAAAACTTACCTGCAGAGAAAACTTGTCCACATAAGTAGGCAGCCCTCAAAAAAAAAAAAGTTGTTATATATAATATTGCCGCCTCTATTCCTTGAATTCTTTATCAACTGTCTCACTTTTTTTTTGTTTGTTTGTTTGTTTTCCGGTACCGGGAATCGAACTCACGACCTTGTGCTTGCCAGGCAGGCACTGTGCCGCTGAGCTAAATCCCCAGCCTCTCTCACATTTATCTTTAAAAATGATTTTTAATGATATTTAGCAATCCAGTACAAACCTTCAACTTTATTGAAAGCCAGAAACTGGAAACCACTATATTCATAACGATGTTACCCAAATTCCGATCTTTCCTCTAGATGCCAAACCGGCTGCACAGATTCAGGGATTAGCGTTCGCGTCGGGGTCCCTGAGAGATAGGGACAGAATGGGAACTAACAAAAACTTGGAACCACGCTAGTCGGGCTGCTGCCCATTGAAAGCCAACCCTAGACTTCGGGAACATTCGTAGATCCCGAAGAACAGCACGAGAAGACCCGACTCATGCCTGCAGCTACGTCCCTGGCATACCAGCTCTGCGCGTTAAAGGTGCCCTGCGGCGAAGATGGTTCCCGCCTGGCATCCCCCGGTGCCAGATCTGGGAGTTAGGGAGACAAAAAGCGGGGGCCTCCATTAAGGCGGAATTAAGCCTACAGCCTCTCAGAATAGCAGCGGCGAACTAGCAGCGAGAGAGCTAGGGAAAGTCATACGGAGGTTTCACTCTCAGACTCTCGGCCTAGAACGTGGATCCCCTCGGATCGCCTCCAGGTCACCTAAGTCCCGTCTCAGCCGCGGAGTGCCGTTATCCATCTGACTGACATCTTTAACAGCCAATGACATTTGGGGTTGTGAAAGCCCCGGCCTCTAGGAGCTGGGCGGGGCGAGGAGTTGGAGTGACAAACGTGCCCACCAATAATGAAGAGTTTTCAGAATTACGGCTGTGACAACCAATGCGAAGAAGGAATAGTTTCAAAAAGACGGGTCAGGCAGCCAATGGGTGGCGCCGCCGCAAAGGTCGCGTGGCTTCCGTTCCGAGAGAGCTGGGGCGGCATCCCAAGCGGAAGGTGGTGGTTGTGGGTGCCGAAGCTCGTTTGAAAGTGGGGGTCGGACCAGGCCGCCGTTGTTTGTCGCTGTGGCCCCGCTTCCGGGCTAGGCCGTTCCGCCCGCCCCTGCCCCGCCTCCCCGCGGACTCCGCGGTTTCGGCCCCCGCTCCCCTCCAGACTCGCTCTGTGCTCGCCGCAGCCCGCTGCCGCTCCGCACGGCTCTGCGGCCCCGGCGCCACCATGTCCCTGCACGGCAAACGGAAGGAGATTTACAAGTACGAAGCGCCCTGGACCGTCTACGCCATGAACTGGAGCGTGCGGCCTGACAAGCGCTTTCGCCTGGCGCTGGGCAGCTTCGTGGAGGAGTACAACAACAAGGTGGGCCGGGCAGGGGCGCGGAGCCCCGCTGGCGGGGAGCAGGCCCGGGAGCGCCCCTTCCGGCCCGGGGCCGGATCCCAGAACCCCCCGCACGCTCGCCCTAGCGCCCCGGAGCGGTTCCTCTGTGTCTGGCCGTGTGCTGGGGGTTCTGCACTCTTTGTCTCGGTTGATCCCGGCAGCATTCCTGTGGGGCGGGGAAACTGAGGCACGGTGTTGCGACGTGCCGGTGGCAGCCGGTACTTCGTGGCGGTAGTAGATCTCGAGCCCGAGTGTACGTCCCAAAGCGATGGCATGTGTCCGCGCGTTCCCCCAGCGCCTGCCGCAGTGCTTCAGTTGTTGGGGCGGGGGAGGGCCGGGGGTGACGGCTATGAGGGAAGATGCGGAGAAGTCGGCCGGTGGTCGCGCACTGCTGGCCGCGCCGGATTTGTTAGTGCGGTTTAGCGCGTACGTCCCCGGCCCCCACTTCCACGCCCAGTTACCCGCGGTGGATTCCCAGCCCTGCTGCCAGGATTGGCATTGCTGTTGCTTCTGGCATCCGTGCTCTTCGGAGCGGTCTGCTGTTGGAAACTGGCCCGCTGTGCGATCCTGGCATTGTTCTGGAAGAGAAAGGTGACACTTGATCTGGTCTTTTCTTGGCTTCTTTCCTGTTGATTTGCGATCTTCAGTGGTAAGTTTTGCTCCTTTTGAGTGTCGGTCGATTTAAGAAACGGCGTTGGTAGAAGGGCGAAGCTTTTAAGCTTGCGGTGCAAAGCAAATGTGTTTGTGAACCTTGTGGGGAAGTTTTCTTTCCTTTATCTCAGTTTCTTTATTAAAGCTGCGGACAGTAGTGATCAGAGCAACCGGAAACTTCGGCTACTGGTGTTTAAAGCCAGTACTGCTTTTTACTGCCGTGAACATCAGACTTAAGACTGGAGCAGTGACAGGCCTGACGCAGGGGTAGAAAAGCCAAGTGGTCTAGGATCGAGTCCTGTCTGACCCACTGACTAGCTATGAGGTGTTGCACAAGCCAGTTTTAGTACGATTGACCCCCAGCTTGCTTCAGGACACAAATTCTGTTTACATGTGAAGGTCTGCTAAAGTTTTTTTTTTAATACTTTAGGTTTGTTGGTAGTTTTTCAGGAGCACACCTGTTTCTCTGGAATAGGTCCTAACTTTGGTATCTCTCCCCTTTGAGAAAGAGATAAAAGGTGTGAATTCTCACAGCCACATGTGCAAATCCCAGGGAGCATACACTGATGCACCCTGACCCACGCAAGACGGCTTTATTTCCTTTTCTCTCATGTCTCTTTCTGCCATGGCAGACAGCAAAACTGGGAATGGAATGAAAAGACCTGATGTGAATATTGTGTAAGATTAAGACCCACTAGAACTGTTATTTAAAGACGCCAGACCTCTTCTCATGATTATGTTTTCAAGTACATAGAATACATAGGATTCCAAAGGAAACCAATTATTTTGAACTACGAGTATCAGGATTTTTTCTTTTTAAAAAGTGGTGATGGAGGGCCGGTGATATAGCTCAGTGGTACAGCGCCTGCCTGGCAAGCACAAGGTTCTGAATTCCATTCCTGGTACCAAAAAAAAAAAAAAGTGGTGCTGGGCCAGGGATTTAGCTCAGTGGCACAGCGCCTGTCTGGCATGGTGAGGTCCTGTGTTCGATTCCCAGTACCAACCTGCAAAGTGGGGATGTAGTAATATGTACCTTTAAATTAACTCATTAAAATAAGTTATACTATCTAGTGTAATGACTGTAACTTGAAGATAAACAGTATTTTAACATGTTTAACACCGATAATGTGATAGGAAAAAATGGAATTTCTGTTGGAGAGTCTTAGATATTCATACTGCTGCGTGTCACTGCCTGCATTCATTCCCCCCACCCCGCTTGTTAGTACATTCATAATTATGGAAATGATGTATTTGAATTAGAGGTTAGTGAAAGTAAGTGTAATTTTCCAGCTCACGTTCATGGACCCCAAGTTAAGAAACCCTGTTACACAGGCTGTAGGAGCGTCCAGGCAGTACGTCCCCCTTTAAAGCAGTGGTTCTCAGGCTGTTTGGGGGAAATTCTGCCTTGAAAGTGGCAGACTTCATAATTTAGAGACATTTAAAGAATTAAAATCTTTAGACCTTAGGTTTCTGCTTTCCATGGATAAATACCAGCAAAGGACAGCATAACACAGCAAATTAGCATTGATGACAAGAGCCTAAAATGGTTATCTTTTTTCATGTGGACACATTGACTGAGAAAACATGATTATAAATTTTAAATTTTAATATGATTATGATTTCCTGTTATAAAATTGTTCATAGTTGGTCCGTAGAATTAAATCTGTAAGATTTTAAGAGCTTGATATCCAGGTGTTCCCTGATGAGAACATATATTTATTTTATTTATTTATTTTTTCTGAGACAGGGTCTTGCTATGTGGTTCAGGCTGGTCCTAAACTCACCATGTAGCCCAGGCTGGCCTTGAACTCTCAGTGATCCTCCTGTGTCAGCCTCCCTAGTGCTAGGATTGCTTTCATGTGCCACCACCCTTGGCTGAGAATAAATTTAGTAATTATTGCAGAATAAAGAAACATCCTATTAAATACATTTGTAATAAAAACCCTATTATTGGTGTTGTGGTTTACGGCTCCCAAAGGTGCTGGAGCAATGGGTTTTGGTATCAGAAGGAAGGTTCTCTAAATTTTACTGTGAGAATCCCCTGAGGGATTTGCACGTTCCTTGGCTCCACCCCTGAAGGTGACAGGCAAGCACAGTGGTCTAGATGGCTTTCTAAGAACTTCTTCCGAGTTACCTTTATATTTGCATGCTTCTGAATGTGGGTTCTGCCTTCCTTCCAAGTTCACCATAATAAAAGCTCTATTG